ATCCACCAGATGCTCTGCCGGGGAAGGAGGGACAATCTTCTCCTGTACCAGTCAGATCTGATTTGACAGTACACACACAAAAATAATAAAATTTTTAAAAAAATAAATAAAAAAATTTAAAAAGTCACCCCAAGTCATGGAATTTCACACTGCTCATTGAGGAATGAGGAATTTGAGGAAAGCCAGAGACTGTACAGCACCTTTTCCAAACTCAGTCCTTGAACCAGCTCAGGTCCCTTAAGCCTTCCTTAAATATCATACACGGGCCAACTCACCAATCCTTCTGTTTGTGTTTGTGGCCCCACAGGTGAATTTGCTGGAGCTGGTGCAGCAAGTGTCCTGTCTGCTTTGACAGAGAAAGCCATCGTGAAGAAGGAATTGCTGTCTAAGGTGGCCGGGAAGGACAAATATCAAATCAATAACAAGCTCGACAATGAATACGTTCCGCTGCCTCTTGGGGACATCCTCAAGCAGGCAGAGGAGAGGGTGGGCCAGGAGGTGCACTACAGCTTGACCAGTGAAAACTGCGAGCACTTTGTAAATGAGCTGCGCTATGGAGTTCCCAGAAGTGACCAGGTGCGTCTCCAGCCTCTGTCCTTGTCTATGAGAGCAAGACTTTTCCTTCAGTTAGTAATAATGGCTGGGCATCTGCTGTGAGACTGACCAGCGAGGAGGCATGATTATGGCCAGAATAGCAGAGAGCAAATGTGCCTGGTCTCTTATTGCCATAAGTACTAACCCACCACTCCTGGTGTTTCTCTTCCCTCTCTGCATTTCCACACCTACGGTAGTGAGAGGAGAGAGCTGAGGGATGGTATTCAGCACATCTATCTCCTGGAAGGGATAGTTTCTAAGAGTTTTCTCTTGGGTGGTGTTTGATGTATAGCTTTCACCCTAGTATTGTCCTCCACAAAGGTGCTGTACTAATGCTTATGGTTTCTGTAGCTCATCTCTTTCTCCTTCTTAATTTATTCCTTTTTATAGTAGACTACTGTTGCAGACCGAGGGTAAAGTATTTTAATAATTAGTAATAATGAGACAGACAACCAGGAATGAGATAGAACAGAGAGTGTAAGACAGGGGTCCAGCAGGTCCAAAGACTGAAGGCCAGGATTCCAGCTTCCCTGTATCTTTATTGAAAACTATCAGGAAGTAAATCACAAAGAGAATTCAATGCAAATGAAGCCAAGCTCTTTCTATTGAAAACCTTCCCCTTGACTCAGGAGGGAAAGGTCAGCAAATACAGTGCAAGGATATGGTAAACCCTTTGGCCTAGTGGCAAGGAGCTGCAACTACAATCCCAGAGGTGTACAGTTCGAATCCACCAGATACTCTGTCAGGGAAGGAGGGACAATCTCCTCCTGTACCAGTCAGATCTGATTTGACGGTACACTCACACAAAAATATTAAAATAATTTTTTTTTAAAAAAGAATATGGTAAACCCTTAAGGATTGCCTTGGTGCCTAAGGGTGAACTCCAGCTTGTACTGTGCCTCCCCCACATCCTGAAATAGTATTTGGTTTATTACAAATATTTAGTGTGATATTTGACTTCCCATAGACTACTTCTCCTTATAATTTCATGATAAAGAGTGCATGTTATTGTTGTATGCTGTCACGTCAGAACCGACTCATAGCAGACCTTCCAGCAGGTTTTCAGAGGCAGTAAATTGCATAGAGAGAGAATGCCCATCTTCTCCTGGTAGATTTTAACTGTGTCCCTTTGGGATTACAGCACAGCTTCCTACCACTAGGCCATCAGAGCTCCCTAAAGAGGACATGGGAGGTAAAATTTTAAAGACCTTTAATGTCTGAAAGTATCTTCCTTTTACCCCTGCATTTTATCAATATCTTGGGTGGGTATAGATTTCTGTGTTGGAAACAATTTTTTTCCAAAATATTGATGGCATTTCTCCATTGTCATATGTTGTTGCTGTTACGTGCCTTGAGTCACTTGCAACCCATAGCAACCCTGTGTACAACAGCTCTGAACCCTGCTCTATCCTATGTTTTATTGACCGTGCAAAGACATTCAACTGTGGATCAGAAAGTTTAGATTGCATTGTAATGTGGGAGATCCAGAACACTAAATTGTGCTCATGCAGACTGTTACATAGACCAAGAAATCGTCCACAACAAGGAGATACTGCATAGTTTAAAATCAAGAAATGTGTGTGACAGGGTTTCCTTTTTTCACCATATTTATTCAATCTTTATGCTACACAAAAGATCCCAGAAACTAAATTATATGAATGATGCACCATCAAGAATAGAGGGAAATGGAGCCAGAAGCGAAGAAAGAAGCCCCTGCCCCTCTCAAAACTGAAGCCAACACAAAGGCGTCCTGAAGGGCATCCACAGCCACAAAAAAAGAGTATCTGTATGTTGCCCACCTTCTGGTGGCCTAAGATGCTGAGACTCCAAAGGTAGTTGAAATATCCCCAGAAGAACGACCCCGGGAGAAACAAGCTTGACCACTATGCCATCATCAAGTTTCCCCCAACCACTGATCAGCCATAAAGAAGATAGAAAAAAACCACACACTTGTATTCACTGTGGATGTCAAGGCCAAAAAGCATCAAATCAAACAAGCTGTAAAGAAGCTCTATGACACTGATGTGGCCAAGGTCAAGGACACCTTGATGGGACCTGATGGAGAGAAGAAGGCCTATGTTCAAATTGCTCCTGACTATGATGCTTTGGGTGTTGCAACAAAATTGGGATCATCTAAAATTGGGAGTCCAGCTGGCTAATTCTAAATACAAATATTTCTCTCAAAAAAGAATAAAAGAAGAACCATATGTTAACAACCATATGCAGATGGCAAAACCTAGTCTGAAGAAAATGAAAAATATTTTAAACACTTAGGTAAGGGTCAAAGACTATAGCTACCAGTGTGGATTGCACTTCAAGATAAAGAAAATAAAAATTCTCATAACTGAGTCAATATGCATGAGAAACAGAAAACTTTGAGGCTGTCAAGGATTTCATTTTACTAAACGTAAAATCAACAGCTATGGTAATAGCAAACAAGAAGCTTAATAATGTATTGCTTTGGGCAAATATACCACAAAGAACATCTTTAAAGTGTTGTTTTTTTTGTTTTTGTTTTTTTGGTTTTTTGTGCATGTACCGTCAAATCAGATCTGACTAGTACAGGAGGAGATTGCCCCTCCTTCTCCAGCAGAGCACCTGGTGGATTCAAACCATGCACCTCTGGGATTGCAGTGCAGCTTCTCACCACTAGGCCACCGGAGCTCCCTATCTTTAAAGTGTTAAACAGCAAAAATGTTACTTTGAAGACTTAAGTGCACCTGACCTAATGCATGGTGTTTTCAATAAGCATGTGAAAGCTGTACTATGATTAAGACTAAGAATTGATATCTTCAAATTAAAGTGTTGGTGAGCAATATTGACTATAGATAGTTCTGAGACTAAGATGAAAAACAATGAAGAAGTTCTCGGAAACAAATTCTAAAGCAAGGGCCATTATGCAAATGCCGTCAGGAACCAAACAGGTAATGCAAATATACAAAGTACCTAGTATATAAATAGCTTGCCTCTGGAAACCCTATGAACCTGGAGAAAGGATTAAAGTCATGCAAGTGTTGAGGACTTTAGTTCATAGGGTAGCTATGAGTCGCCTATGACTCGATGGCACTGAACAACAACAACCTAGTATAAGACATTAAGGAGCGGTGAGGACCATAGCTTAACAAATATGCCTGGGAACTAAGTTTGGCCATAAGTTACTGATGTTAAAGGAAAATCCAATAACAACAACAACACAAACAAAAGAATATTGACTTTACTATGAAATGCTGACAAATTTGTCTTGCAAAAAGTGCAGTCAGAATAATCTAAAGAGGTAAAGATTGTGACACTTCATCCCACATACTGTGGCCACGTTATCAGAAGAATCAGTCCCTGAAGGACATCATGAATGGTACGCAGAGGATCACGCAAAAAAAGGAAGACTCTCAAAAGACTGAGCGGCACAGTGGTGCAACCGTGAGTACATTGCCAACAGAGTCCAGTCTCCAGGAAAGAACATCTTGCTCAGAGAGGAAGAGGGTCAGAGGAGGAGAAGACTCTCAACATGACACTTGACACAGTGAGGGCAGCAATGAACTTAAGCACAGCTGAAATTGTGAGGGTAGCACAGGGTGAGGCAAAGTCTAATCTGTTCTGCATAAGGGTGCTAGGAATCAGAATCAATTCAACAGCACCCAATGCCAAAACTTTTAAAAATTGAGTATGCTACAAATATACCATGAATATAGTGGAGCCTACAGAAATATGGTGGCATATTCCATATTGTGTTGTTCTGCCGACAGTCTTTGGAACACACCCGTTGCTCCTCAGGAGAAAGAGGGACAGTGTCCTGTCGTAAGGATTTGCAGCCTCAGAAACCTGACGGAGAGTGACTGTAGGCCAGAACTGACGTGACAGCCATAAGATAGTAGAACATATAGGGACCAAGTCGTGAAGACTTCTTAGCCATAATCAAATACTTTGAGGGAATGTGTCACTGAGGTCGTAGTCTTTGGGGACATCAAAGTCAATTGGCACATCATAGCCCCACACACAAAAATGTTCTACATCTTACTTTGGTAAGTAGCAGCAAGATACTAAAATATAAAAAAAAAATTTTAAAAAAGATATTAAAATTTTGTGAGAGGCTATGTATGGTCCAATGATTGCTCTTTCTCTGACCAGAACAAATAAGAGTGAAGAAAATGAAAGATACGTGCAAACAAGCAGTTTACATGGACCAAAGAACCAGTGGACCTTAACCTCCATGACCTTAAGACCAGAACCATGAGGTGGCACTCAGCCACCTCCCATCACTCTCAGAGGAACTACGTTAAAAGGTCCTGGATGGATAAAGTGTGGACCAAACTGAAGTGACAGAAAGGACCAGGGCTATGAGTGGGAGAGAGACTGTGTAACCTCGTGAAATGACAGCTCTTAGTTACAAATGCCTAGAATTGAACTCACTCTCGCAGTTCAACTTTAAGCCAATGTTGTTGTTGTTGTTGTTGTTGTTAGGAGCTGTCAGTTGAATATTACTCAAAACAACCCTATGAACAATCCATCTGAACACTGTCCTATCCCATGCCGTCCTCACATTCTCTGATGCTCTCAAGCCCATTTCTACAGTCACTGTGTCAATCCACCTGGTCGACAGTCTTCCTCTCTTTTGCTGTCCCTCCACATTCCAAAGCATCATGTCCCTCTGCAAAGAATAATCTAACAATATGCCCAAAGCAGAAGAGATAAAGCTTCATCATCTTTGCCTCCAAGGAGCACTCTGGCTGCACCTTTCCCAAGACGTCCATGGGATAGTCAGTACTCTTCACCAATGCCACAGCTCAAAGGCATCAGTTCTTCCTCTGTCCTCCTTAGTCATTGTCAGCTCTCAGTGGTGTAGCAAATGATTGAAAAGACCATGGCCTGCTTGGTCCTCAGACTGGCATCATTACTCCTCAATAATTTGGAGAGGTTCCTGACTATAGGTCTATAAAGTGCACATCACTTCTCTGGTCACAAGAGGTCACACGTCCTAATATCATGAAGTCTATCACCTTGGAGATACAGGATAAAGATGTTAGATGAGATCTTTGCCCTCCTGGAGGTCACAGTTGTTTGACCTTTCATCATGGTAACTCCTGTCTACTTCATACTTGCTTCAAGGGTTCCCAGTCAGATACTCTGGCACTCTGGCCCTCCCTGTCTTTTAGGGATTTTTGAGCTTTGAATACTCAGAGTCACCCGCATTGCCTGCTTTTGGTCCCTATAAAGTCCAGCCCAGCTGGCTCTAGGCCCCTCCTGGCCTCTTCCCTGAGAACACTGGTTGATTCCGAGTATGAATGAAGAGGCCAAGAAACATGTGAAGTTGCCAGAATTCACTGTCCCTGTTGAACATGCAAGCAGCCGTGGTGGAACAGGGGTTAAGCACTTAGCTACAAACCAAAAAGTCAGAGCTTCAAATCCACCAACTGGGAAAAAGAAAGCTGTGGAAGCCTTAGGTGGATCATCAGGGGTCAGAATCACTCAGGGGCAGAGCTTTAGTTTGGGTTGAATGTTTAACCGGTGCTCATTTCTTGACATAGGGTCTGAGTGTTCTCTTTTCTTCACAGGTCAGAAATGCTATCACAGCAGCCTCTGTCACAGCACTGGGTCTGGCAGCCTTGGGCTTAATCAGAGTGATACTATCGAGACATAAGAAGCAAAAACAATAATTTGAAACGACTTCCCCTTCAGCAGCAACTTCCTAAATTAACATCTCGTTTTGTTAGAGGGTTTGGGGTTGGGTGTAGGAGTTTCATTCTAGTTTTTAGTAAGGCTTATTTTTACCAAATAAAATAGAACCCAACCATGCAGTTCGGATTCTGTTTCTTGCGACCCCCGGTGGGTGCCCTAACGTGGCTGTGACTCTCTTCCTCTTCAGGGTTCCTCTTTGGGGCTCTTTCCATTACAAGAACTGAAGTCCAAATTCACTTATCGCAAGTCCCTAGACGTTTCTGGCTGTGGGGGACACACGTGAGGCAGGAGTACTCTGGTTGACGTGTACAGCAGGAACACTCATCACATGCTTTATCTTACAAGGCTCCTAACAGTCACCTGGCCCTCAAACGAGTTTGATTTGCTATTTATTGTTGGTTCACACGTCTTTACAACTCTCTACACATGGATGATAATTGTGCAAAACCATTATGTTGCAAACATCTAGCTCAAGAATGATGACAGGGTTTGTATCCAGTAGCAATGGGGGTGAAATGACAAGGGTTTGGTGCCACTGGGCTATGTTGTTGTTGTTATGTGCCGTTGAGTTGCTTGTGACTCATAGCGACCCTATGTACAACAGCCCTAAACTCTGCTCTGCCCCGTGCCAATCACACTGTCTGACACTCCCATCCCGATTATCCCAGTCACTGAATCAATCCACCTCATAGAGGGCCTTCCCCTCCTGCACTGTCCCTCCACCCTCCCAAGCATGATGTCCTTCTCCAAGGACTGGTCCCTCCTTACAACATGTCCAAAGTATGTCAGACGGAGCCTCAGAATCCTTGCGTCCAAGGAGCCGCCCGGTTTAACCCTCTCCAGGATGAATCTGTTTTCCTAGCAGTCCATGGTACTCTCAATACTCTTCTCCACTAGGCTATACAACCGGAATTTTTGCATCTGCTTTAACAATCACCTATCAGCCCTCTTCATTTCCTTCCTACACAAGTCAACTTACTACATTCTCCAGGAACCGGCTTTGTCATCCTAGAACTTCTGTTAGCAGTGAGATGAATCATCGTGAACAGGTGCGTGCACTGCATGAGCGTAAGATCATTGTCATTTAGCACGTAATCTGTGACGAATGCCTCTGTTGTGGAGCATTAATTACGTAATTAAAGATTCAACTGTTTCTGATCTGAGCCACGGTGTTTTCAGCCAGCTCATATGCATGTGAATGTTGGACAATGAAGAAGGCAAACTGATGAGGAAGAAGGAATGCCTCTGAATTTCTGTTGTTGAAGAACAGTGTCCCTGTGAAGACGTCTGATGCTTCGGCGTGTCACCGGAAGGGGGCAGACCCTCGAGGAAGGCACCGGGTCTGGTCAAGTGAAGATGATCCTCACGGACTTGGGTGAACACAGTGGCTGCAACAATGGCTCAAACATAAGCAATGACAGTGAGGGCGGCTCGGGATGAGGCAGTGTTCTGTTCTCACGGACACAGGCTGCTGGGAGCCACCATCAGTTCAACAGCATCTTAACAACAGCAGCAGCAATGTGTTCTCTTTCTCAGGCTAGACTGCAGACGGCTTAATAGGACAGACCCAGCGACCTTCCGGACTGCTTTTCCACTGGAGGTGAAGCTCCCAGGGTGTCCTGATGTCTGTCAAGTCCCACCGACCTCCTGACACTGCCGATGGAGAGATCTCCTGTTGCTGCACTCAGGTTGTTCTCTCTGGTGTACACAAACTGTGTACTTCTTGGGGAACCTGAAAGAGCCTTTGGACACCTCAGCTGAAGTGAAACACCATAACAAATCTCTGACCAGCCCAGGTGGTGGCTACATGACAACCCTCTGCTTGGATCTAGCTAGAACCTTCTAGGACCTTCCTCCTCGCCCCAAATCCAGCTCCCAGAGCACCCTGTCCAGGGTTCTCCACGCTGGAAGGCCACTGGCCTCTTCCAAAGCCCCCACACCTTTCTGCTTTCACTTCCTGTCCCAAAACCCCACTATCAACCAGTATTAAGATGATGAGGGCCTCTACGTAGGTCAGAGCCAGGGCCAAGCAGCAGAAGGTCAAGAAAGCTTACTGAGTTAGACTGAAGGGCAGTGACTACTTACTCGCCACATTCATGGATTTATTATTGGGTAAATATCCATTTCCATCTAAGTGAGTCTGACTTATGGTGACCTCACTAGATAAGATTAGGTTTCCTCGATGCAAGCACAGGTCTTGGGTAACTAGATGGACGGGGACTATCAAGGAAGAGACACCTGAGAGAGAGATGACAGGAAGGTTCCCAGGTAAAATTGTCACTCCAAGGTTTCAGCTCAGCCAATGCCAGGAATAGGAATTAGGGGGTGAACCAAAGGAGCAGTATCCTTGAGGCTGTGCTGAAATAGGGAAAAAGGAAAAATATCTAGAAGACAGAGCACTGGCCAGGGACCAGATGGACATTAGCAGGAACACTGAAGAGTTTTGGAATGAAACCAGACAGGCAGAGGTCTAGCAATCCAATGATGTTGACTTCAAGAAGTCCCATTCCTGGGTCTACCAGCAGCACAGGAGTGAAGGGCCAGGCCTGACGGAGATGGTTTGGATAGCTAGGTTGGTGTTGGCTCAAACAGGATCTGGCTGGCTGGGAAAGGGGACAGAAGCCAGACCTAGCTGGACTCACATGACAGGTAGGCTGAAGGAAAGATTGAGAGCCCTGAAAGGTTCCTGATACCTTGACCTTCATCCCCAGGTCACTCTTGCCCCAAAAGCAGCCCCCTGTGAGGACAGGCACAGAACCATCTTCCTTCCGCCACCTTCGTCCTTCAGATCTCCACGGTGCAGGTTGTACCCTGCCTACTGCATAGATTATTAAAGTCTCCAGAAAAGCTACCTGTGAACACTGTCTCCAAACCCTCTCCCTCCAACCTCAGCCTCAGCATCGAGTGCCCGGCTAGCCCAGACAGTGTCTTCACAAAATTAGAAAATGCTTCCCAGGAGAAGGCTTGGCCAGTAGATGTGAGACCTTCACATCAAGTTTGAAATAAGCCTCTTGTTCTAAGCCCATCCCCAGAGTGACTGAGTTGGAGAGCAGACAGAGCAGGACTTCAGCTCCTTCCTGGACCCTCCCCAGTGTGGGCTTTGTGCAGTAAACAGCTTGAACAACACTATGAGCGGCCCTATAGGCATCTTCCCTCCTCAGGAGCAGGTGTCTCCTCTACCCACTCCAAGTGGGTCCCACTGGGATGAACTTCAGTTCCAGGGCTGCAAGCACATCAGTATACAAACCCAAGTACTTACCTCTCTCGAGTCCAGTCTCTCACACTATCTGAATAGATATAATCTGAGAGCTTTGAGTAATGGGCACCAGAGGCCAGATGTAAAAGTTGGGGAGACATCTTCATGGGATTCCAAGCAAACCATCTGGCATGATTGTGAAGGAGGGAACTCGACGTGGTGCATGTCACGCCTTGGGAAGACAAGTGAGAGGGAAGGAGGTGGGGACTGCTGTGCTCAGTGTACGGAGCCGGAGAGGCCCCTTTTGCTTCCCCCAGGATGCGCTCCCCTTACCGTCATCCCTCACACTGGTGCTCACGTGGATCTCTTCAAACACCACACTGGAATCTTCAACATCAGATGCCTGGGCTTCTTGCTTGGATCACTTTCCATGGATATACGAGGTTTAAAATTGATTCCCAAGGTTATACTCACACCCTAATCCCCACAGATCAGGGAGCTCTGGTGGCCTAGTGGTAAGACGCGGGGCTGCAATCTCACAGGCACGTGGTTTGAATCCACAAGCTGCTGCCCCACGGGAGGATGGGCAACCTCCTCCCACACCATTTACTGCCCCTGAAAGTCTGCTGGACGGTCAGCTGCGAGTCAGTTCTGACTCAGGAGCATTCAAGAACAACAACAAGTGTTACAAAAATGTACTGCTAGCTGGACACAAAGTGTTCCGGAGATGTAGGTAAGGATTTTTGAGATGAGCTCATCCTGGTATACTCTAAATGCAAGCACCAGTGTCCTATAAGAGAAAGGCAGTGGGAAATTTGACTCATAGGAGGGCAAATGGCCAATTTAGAGGCAGAGATGACTGGAGTGATGTGACCACAAGCCACATAGCCACCAGAAATGAAGAGACAAATGAGAGATTCGCCTCTGAGTCTTCAGAAGAACTGTGGCCCTGATAACACTTTCACTTAGGCCCAGTGAGATTCATCTTAGACTTCTGAACTCCAGAACAGTTCTGTTGTATTCAGGCACTAAATTTGAGGTAATTGGCCATAACGGCCTCAGGATACTAGTATAATGAGAACAAGCAGATGAGAAGAAACTATATAGAAAGGACAATGTCAGGTTCAGCTTCTCTGTAGAGTTTGGAAGCAGGACTATCAGTCATGAGACCAGGCATAATCATGGCCAGACATGGACAAGGACATTTGTTCTAGGACTCTGACTCTGTAAGAGTTGATTGGCCTAGTGAGGTCATCTGACCCCAAAACAGCCAATTATATGGCATCGTTAAGATGGGGTAAGCAAGAGGAACCAATCAGAGTCTCTCAAGAACTTGAACTAGAACTGTAATGAGTGGAGGCAGATGCGGAAGAGAAGCTCAGAGATACTTGTGGAATGAGAGGCTTGAGGGGTCAGAGGAAGCAAGCGCGCTGAGGAGATGGTGGTTGTGGTGTGGTGTCGAGCTGGAACTAACCCATAGCTGACCCTCCAGTGAGTTTTCGGAGGAGGGAGTTTACATCGCAAGGGAGGAGATTGCCCATTCTTCTGTGGAGCAGGTGGAGGGTTGAACCACATGTCTTTGGGATTGCAGCATAGCTTTTTACCACTAGGCCACCTTAAGCTTCCTTGAAAAGGGAACTGGGAGATAGACTTGAATACCACTGAGGAGGTAGAAGTTACAATTGGAGGGAAGATGGAAGGAGCAAAAGAAAATAGGGAAGCTTTAACGAGATTAAGGGCACTCTGGTGGTGTGGCTGGTGGTAAATTGCACTACTCATCTAAAGAACCAGGTGTCTGTCAGCTCTGTGGGGAATAGACCAGAAGCTCCTGTTCTGGTTTACGGCCTCCATGAAGCACAGTGGAAGGACGGACACTCGGAGGTGCAGCCCACTGGACAGCAATGAGTTTGAGTTTACAGGTCTTAGCAAGATTGGCAAAGGTCTATATTGAATTTCTTTCATGGCACTGGATTTTTTGTTTTAAAGTTCCTGGTTCTCTGCTGGTTCCTATTATTTGTGGTTGATGGATACATCTACCAACTCTATCCTGCCTCATGTATGGTCCCCACAACAAAAGACCCCATGTACTTGAGATGACTGATAGAGATGTGCATTCCCACCACGAAAACAGTGAAGACAGCCCTCAATGAGAGAACCCGAGAAAAGCCAGGACAGGGCCTAAGCCGGCGTCACCAGAAACAGAAGTCCACACCAGGCCGTTCTTGCTGCATTTCTCTCAATAGAATTCTCCTTTACAGGCCTTTATTTTATTCTGTGAAAATAAGCCTTATTATAAAATAGAAACGACATCCATACACCAAACCCCAAACCTTCCAGCAAACCAAGATCCCCTTAATTTAGAAAGTCACTGCTGTCAAGGCAGCCTCTTCAAACTACTGCTTTTGCTTCTTGTTTCTTGAGAACATCACTCCGATGAGGCCCATGGCAGCCAGACCCACTCCCGCGATGCCGGCCGCCATCACAGCATCCCTGACCTGCAAAAGAAAGAGAAGTGGGTGGTCAGCCTCTGTCACGAACCTGAGAACAGGCAGGGCATTCAACCCAAGAAGGTTCCACCTCATAAAACACAGCAGAACTGCCCAAGAGGGATTCCAAAGCTGCAGCATCTTTAACAGAACAGATTACCACATCTTCTTCCTCTATAGAATGGCTAGTGGTTTGGCCTTCCGGCTGGGGGTTTTCACCTTCCGGCTGGGGTTTCACCTTCTGATCTTTGGGTTAGCAGCTGAGTGCCTTGTACACAATCAACAGAGACATTAAGCTCTGGTAGTCTCTCATGCTCCGTTGGCCTCCCCAGCCTCACTGGTTGTGGTATTCTGCCACATCAGAACCAACTCATAGCTTTCCCTTCCAGCAGGTTTCCAGAGGCTGTAAATTGCATGGACGGTATTTGCCTATTTGTCTCCTTTGGAGCAGCAGGGGGATTCAAACCATCTGCTCTGGGGTTGGCAATGCATCTTCTTGCCACTAGGTCACCGCAGCCACACTAGGGAGTCAACAAATATTGGCAGGAAAGAGAGCAGGAGAGGGCTGGATGAGGAAAGAACCAGTGAATAGAGCCAGCTGGACTGGGCTTCAGAGGAACCAAAGGTGTTGGCTTTGTGGGTATTTCAAGCATATAACCCCTAGATGAGGGCCCTGGAAAAGGACAGGGAGGCAATTACAGAATGGCCAACTGATAATGTTTGAAGCAGGTGTGAAATAGAGAAGAGTTTACTCTCATAAAAAGCTCAGTGGCCTGTGACCTCCAGGTGCACAAAGAATTCAGCTGTCTTCTTTGTCAGGGGTCGGTCCTGCCAGTATTAACTAAACGACTCGGTTATGAATAATGCTGATGTGGTTCCAGTTAATGGGCAATCTCCTTGTGTTCTAAGTAATAGAATAGAGGGGTTTGAAAAGTGCAAGCAGAAAGAATTCAGCTCATAAATGAACCATACGTCCAAATTCATTGTATAAGAGATTTTTCTAAACCTTTGATCCAAAGCAACACGGCTGAATTAAACCCAGGTTTATGCTGCTGTCAGCAAAATTAAATCAGAGTTTTCAGAGATGCCTCAGGCTCTTCATCTGGTGATGGCTGATGCGTGATGTCAAGTGGGAATCAACCCATAGCTCACCCTCCAGCGAGCTTCCAGAGATAGTTAATGGCCCGGGAGGAGATTTGCACATCCTCCCACAGAGAAGCTGGTGGGTTTGAATCTTGCGCATTTGGGATTGCAGTTCAGCCTCCTGCCACTAAGCCACCAGAGCTCTGGTTTTTATGGTTAAACAACCATAAATAATTAAGAGAATCTTTGCCCTTCATGACTAAGCCAGTATTTGGAAGAAATGCTCCCCAAGGAAGGGTTTGGTTTGGTTTTGCTTTCTGGCACAGATGCACTGTGTAACATAACCTTAAGAAATAATTCCTTTGGTTTTCTGAGAAAACACCAAATGACGATGACGCCGGTGCAGCAGGAGGGCCTGGAGGCCCTGGGATGGGAGCCCATGGTGGTTTCCACGGAGGTTTCGGTAGCGGTCTGCGGGGTCAGGGCCGCGGCTGTGGACGGGGCCGTGGGAGGGGCCACAGAGCTCAAGGAGGCAAAGCCAAGGACAAGGAGTGGCTCCCCGCCACCAAACTGGGCCGCCTGGTGAAAGATATGAAGATTAAATCATTGGAGGAGATTTATCTCTTCTCCCTGCCCATCAAGGAATCTGAGATCATCGACTTCTTCCTGGGCATGTCCCTCAAGGATGAGGTGTTGAAAATCATGCCAGTGCAGAAGCAGACACGTGCTGGCCAGCGGACCAGGTTCAAGGTAGCCTTTGTTGCCATCGGAGACTATAACGGCCATGTTGGCTTGGGCGTCAAGTGCTCCAAGGAGGTGGCTACTGCTATCCGTGGGGCCATCATTCTAGCCAAGCTCTCCATTGTCCCTGTGCAGCGTGGCTACTGGGGGAACAAGATTGGCAAGCCTCACACCGTTCCCTGCAAGGTGACTGGGCGCTGTGGCTCTGTGTTGGTGCGTCTGATCCCTGCACCCCGAGGCACTGGAATCGTCTTGGCTCCTGTGCCTAAGAAGCTGTTGATGATGGCTGGAATTGATGACTGTTACACCTCAGCCAGGGGCTGCACAGCTACCCTGGGCAACTTTGCTAAGGCCACCTTTGATGCCATCTCAAAGACCTACAGCTATCTGACCCCAGATCTCTGGAAAGAGACGGTGTTCACGAAGTCTCCCTACCAGGAATTCACGGATCATCTTGTAAAGATTCACACCAGAGTCTCCGTGCAGAGGACTCAGGCTCCAGCTGTGGCCACCACATAGTGGATTTTCTATAATAAATAAAGTGAATTATGTTCTAAAAAAAAAAAGAAAGAAAGAATTCCTTTTATGAGAAATGCTGCTCCTTGGAGACAAGGATTCTGAAGCTTCATCTGACATACTTTGGAAATGTTGCAAGGAAGGACCAGTCCTTGGAGAGGGACGTCATGCTTGGGAGGGTGGAGGGACAGCACAAGAGAGGAAGACCCTCGATGAGATGGATTGATTCAGTTACTCGGGTAATAGGGGTTGGTGTGTTGGAGACAGTGAAATTGGCACAGGATAGAGCAGGATTTAGGGCTGTTGTACAGAGTTGCTATGAGTCGCAGATAGCTCGACGGTACATAACAACAACCAACAATATGACAAACTCAAACTCACTGCTGTCAAGTTGGAACCAACTTGTAGCTGGCCCTCCAGGGGGTGTCCAGACGCTGTAACAACTGCCCATCTTTCTTCTTTAGAGTCAGTGGCAGATTCGAATCACCAGAGAAGTCCCTTTACCTTAGCCCCACATCTCCTTACAAACTATGCCACAGAGCCCCCTTTTCATGATGTTGTTAAGTGCCTTTGGATCAACTGTGACTCCATAGCGACCCTGTGAACAATGGACCTGAACACTGCCTTGTCCTGTGCCATCCTGTTAGGGTTAGAACCAGTAAGACAGGGGAGGTACAAGTTCATGTCTGATGAAACATGAGCCACCAGAACAGGGAGTGGATACGGACATGCGTGGAATTAGTTTCTAAGTACCTGGGTGATTCAAAGACAATGGCCCAGAATAAGAAACCCTCACCACACTTTGAACTCTTCAAGATACCATCTTATTTGCCCAGACTCCAGACCCAAGGCACAGCCAGACGAAGAAGCCATACATAGAACCTCACCTCAGTGGCAAGCTGCCCTCCTCCATCACTTCCTTTCGAGGGAAAAAGGGCTTATCCCCTTGGGACAAACCTCCCCTGATAAATCTATGTTTACTTTTTTCTTTCACGTCTGCCTCCTCACCTTTATTCTCAGGCTCAAGACCTCAAACTAGCACTCCACCAAGCCCTCCACACACACACACACTTACACTCTCAGCCTCGTGCTCCAGCAAGGCCTGGGCTACACTCTGGTCAGCATTCCAACAAGGCCTCTGCCTACGCCGGATTATTCTGAGCAAGATTAGCAATGGCCCTTCAAAGGATCCCTATGCTGGTCTCATATACAGGGCCACCACTATTCAATAAAAAAGGAGCTCTGGTGGCTTAGTGGTGAACAATTGCATTGCCAGCACAAAGGTGTGCGGTTCGAATCCATCAGCTGTTCCACGAGAGAAAGATGCACAATCTCTGTGCAATTTACTGCCTCTGAAAACCCGCTAGAGGGTCATCTATGCGTAAGCACGCAACAACAAGAGCATTCAGGGAGCTCTGGTGGCCTAGAGGCAAGAAGCTGCACTGCAATCCCAGAGGTACATGGTTCAAATCCATCAGATGCTCTGCTGGAGAAGGAGGGACAATCCCCTCCTGTACCAGACAGATCCGATTTGATGGCACATACATAAAAAAATAATAAAATAAAATAAAATTTAAAAAAAAACAGCATTCAATGAATAAGGGAACTTTTGTGGCCTAGAAGTAAGAAGCTGAGCTGCAATCCCAAAGGCACAAAGTTCGAATCTACCAACCACTTCATGAGAGAAGAATGAGCAATCTCCTGTGTGACTTACAGCCTCTTAAAATCCACTGGAGGGTCAGCTATGGGCCAGTTCTGACTCAATGACACAACAACAATTAAATGAAGAAGGAAATTTTCACCTGTTCTAAACTTTAACTACACTATTGCTAGGTTTGCTCTGAATCAAATTTTCTTATTTTCCCAGCTTCTTTCTCATTTTGTTATGACTGTCTCATAGACAAGCTGGAAGGTCAGTGACAGAGAGAAAGAAGATAAGGTGGGCTGACACAGTCATGTGGTCATGGGCTTGAGCGTGCCGGAGATTGTGAAGACGACACAAGACAGGACAGGGTTCAGATCAGTCGTTCACAGAATCGCTGAGTCCTACTCAACTAGAAGGCACCTAACAACAACAAAAAAAATGGGTAAGGAGTTGTGCTGCTAACCCAAAAATAGGCAGTTCAAATCCACCAGAGCTTTGTGGGAGAAAGGGCAATCTCCTCCCATGAAAACCCACTGGAGGGGAAGGTACGAGTGGGTTTCCCTTGACAACAAGGAAAGAGTTCTCTGCATGATGTGAAGAATTAGCGTATCTTCTCCTGAGATGGTTCAGAGAGGGAGGGCCAGCATTCGGCCGTTGCCGCATCGGAAGACCCAGGACTATAGCCTGGGTGTGCAGCCTACGGCCTCCAGGATCCCTCTTCACCTTCAACTTCGACGAAAGCTTTCTGGTGCCAGGCTAGTGACCCCCGTAGAATCCTTCTAGAAAGCATCTTGAAAAGGCACGTTAGTAAGGACGTAATACCTCACCTGGAGACCGTGTCTTTAAAGTCACATGAAATCGTCTGAGTCATGCAAAGTCTCAGCCAGCTGGATTATCTGCGCGTGCCCAGAAAGTGCTTGTGGTGGCAGCCACATTGAAAGAACAACGATGCATGTGTTTAATTATCCTAATCCCGCCCCCTGGGCCAGTAGGAAACATAATGATAGGAAGAAAAAAAGATCCG